TTATATGTTATTAAAAAAATGAAAAATTTAAGATTTTCGTGTGATTGGCGATCATCTGCTAATCACAGTAATTTGAACTTTTCTTACTCTTTATTTTCTTTTTTTTTAGTATGACAATGTATGGATTTACATTGCTCCGACATTTTCTGTAAGCTTTGGTGGAATAGGAAATACAATCCTTTATATTATTTATGAACATTGGAAAAATCAATACGATGATTCATTAGTAAACTCTGAATATTTTAATGGAAGTACTAATATTAAAATAAAAATAACAACGAAAACAGCGGTTACATCAGCAAATTCCACCAATGAAACTAGCAGTTACACCAATGCAACCGATGTTGTTATCAATCAAACTATATAGCCAAGGTAATGAAATATCCTTAATAAATTTAAAAAAAATCAATAGCACTGAATAAATGACTTGTTTATATAATTATATTAATTATTTTTAGGCTTTAATGGTCTTTATTAAAAATTAGTGTTTTAGAACTTTTTTTTTAAAAAAAGGCGCAAATTTCTTTTATAACTGTATTTTTATTACCATAGAATATACCGTGCTTTCAAATTATCGCAAAATCAATCAGTTAGAGTTTTTATTGCCTTATTTTAATCATTATTATTAGGTTTTATCTAAATTGTATAATTGGATATTAGAAAGAATATCATAAATGCATAATAAAGCGAGAGGAAGCATATTGAAGAAAGTAAAAAAAAAAGTAAAATTGTGTGAATACAAATACATGTGCTGCTACACAGCAAATGAGTGAAATTACCGCCGGTAAAAAAAATTTCCTGTTATTTGTCTACGTTGTCCAATAATGATGTTATCCGATGGTTAATATGACCATGTGAAGTTTTTTCTGTGATATTTTGCAAAATTTATTACGTAATTTAATGCAAAAATATCATGGCAAAAAAATTCACATGAACATATGAAATATCGGATAAATCCCATTACGTAGCGTTATGTAGTCCCTTATTTTAACTCCTTTATACGATCAGTTCCCTTATTTGCGATCCCAAGTTTGTGAAACACAATTTCAAATTTATGATCCAGCAAATTTCTTTTTTATTTCGATATATAAAATAGTATTAGCTAATCTGATCGGTACTCTAGATGCAAATCTCTTTTCTTACAGAACAGGAAAAAAAGTCACGAATGCAGGGTTGTCATTTAAAATTTTAGTTTCAAATAACAAATAGCAAATTATCGTGCTTTTCAAATTACTGTGATTAGCAGATGATCGCCAATCACACGAAAATCTTAAATTTTTCATTTTTTTAATAACATATAA